CTCAGGCTGGAGTGCAATGGCGTGATCTCAGCTGACAACCTCCGTCTCCTGAGTTTAAGTGATTCTCCTGCCTCAGCCTCCCGAGTAGCATGCGCCACCATACCTCACTATTTTTTTTGTATTTTTAATAGAGACGGGGTTTTTCCATGTTGTTCAGGCTGGTCTCGAACTCCTGACCTCAGGGGATCTGCCCGCCTTGGACTCTCAAAGTGCTGAGATTATAGGCATGAGCCGCCCCGCCCCGCTGCATAAGCTTTTAATACATTTTTTTTTGCAATCTGCTTTGGAATTTTAAAATTGCTTTCAATAACAACATGAACATATCTACAACTTATATATCCAATTCACCCCCTCCTAACTTGCCTACAATGTTAAAATAAAGAGGAATTATCATAACACAGGAAGATGTTTAATACTCAGGATTTTTAATATCATCATCTTTAAAGTCTTTTTCTGCACAGCTAAATCTGATTCCCTGGTACTACATCTGATTGAGTTAGTAACTAAACCATTTTCACTATTGTCTTTGGTAATATCTATCCAGATCACAAACAGAAATATTGGTAAGACTCCTTCAAAAAGGAGTTTAACCTCAATATGTAACTCCTACCATGTTTAGCTATAGTTCTAAATTAATGAAACACAGTAGTCATTTAACAAGATACTACTATATATGGTCATTGGGGTATACGGGACATGCTACGTCAAAATATGACACCTTGGCATCTGAGAAGCAGAAAGGTCTCTCTGACCTTTCCCTGGGCCTTCTCCTCTGCAGCAGGCCATAGAAGAATCCTCTAACCCTCTCTGGAGTAGGTCATAAGACCTTCATTCCAGTCCTCCCTATTCCCAGAGGAAAGGAGCCTCCTTATTTGTAAAGATGCAGAGAATCATCTGACCACACAGGCCTTGCTGAGCTCCCCCAGCTTATTCCCATCAGGTCACACCCCTTTCATCTCATGGTGCTTCTCCAAAACTGTCTGCTTCTTCAACAGACAGCATACAATCGACACAGGATTTCCTGTTGCTCTGAGTCTTCCTTTCTGAAGGCTCCTGTGTCAGGTGAAACTTATCTTCAATAAACTTGCACACTTTTCTCTGGTTAATCTGTCATTTGTTATAGGGGACTCGACCATGAACCTAGCGATGGGTGAGAAATCATTTCTCCCATAGCCAGCCTAACTCATTAGAAGGAGCATGTACTATCGTGCGGGACTCATACTTATTCCGAACCATTCTGAAGAGATTCATCTTTAAATTATATATTACATTAAATGTCTTCCTTCAGAAAAGACAATCTTGTGAACATCGCCTTTGGTGACTGAATGTCACTAGATATAAAACAGGTAGAAAAAGAAAATACTTGGGATGGCTTTAACTCTTAAATCCCGTCAAACACTCCCCTCTTCTTTAGGAGAAACCTCGCTCGGCTCACCTCCTCATCACTGCTGAACAACAGGGCAGATGCTTTCTTTTTGGAGAGCTCGGAGGGTTTTGCTTTCTCTTGTCTCTGAGCTTGTAGAGACAATGTCTGCTTCTTAGCAGCTGTACCCCCAAAAAGATTATCCTAGAAAAGCAAATGGCAGAAAGGTAAGACAACTTTATAAACAGAAAACACAGGATGTCTTCCTACATCAAACTGTTAGGAAGTAAGTCTCCAGTCAGGTGTACAAATAACACCTCTGGCAGGGAAAACTCACAAAATGCTAGTAAATCCCAAACTACAGCCTTTTCCCACTGCACCCATAGAAGGGAAAGAGATTACCATAGAACTCGAAGGCAGAACAGCTGGGAAGAAGCAAGAGGACAACATGCAAATGAGATCACGGAGTACAAGGAGAAACTGAGCCCCATCCAGTCGCCCTGTGGGCAAGTGCCTCTCTGCTCATTTCAGGGGGTTACAACCTGCAACGGGCATGGGAGCCCCTGCAGCAGCCAGAAGCTCACACTGTCCTCTCCACAAACGAGAAACCAGAACAATGGCTCAAAGGAGAGAACTAGGGGTCTGTCTCCACTCCTTTATAGGTAAGAAAGACATACACCTGGGAAGGAGGGAAGGCATGCCTTGTGTTTCTCATTAGTTTCAAAGAGATTATATAAAGTGAAGAAATAGTTTACTAAATAAAATTGCTGGTGTACTAGGTTTAAGGGCATTTGTAAATTCTTCTGTGGTCAAGCACTCCCCAAAAGTTGTAAAATTTACTAAGGTTTTATTCAGGTAAGGGGAACAAAAGCATCAGAGGGCCTGAGTCTGAGGATGGAGAAACTCTTAACACAGGTGAACAGCCCTGGAATGTGAAGATGGATGAAGGGAGTGTCTTCCTGGATGAAGTCCCTTTAAGGAGAGTGCGGTAATGTAGCAGGCCAGGAGAGTAATGAGCTGGTGTCCACTGGGGATACTAATGACAAAGCTCACATTCACTATGCACTTACTATGTGCCGGCACTCTGCAAGAGTGTCACACTAGTAGTTACAGCTGCCACAATGACCCTACTCACTGTTAACCACGGTGAGTTTAAGGAAGGTTACTTGCTCCAGGTCCCTGGTTTGCCAGTAGTGGAGCTGGGATATGAACCCAGGGTCTGATGGCAAAGCCTATGAGCCTCATCACTGCCCAGTACTGCATCAGAGTTAAGGTTTGGGTTGTCTTCTCTCTTATTTCTCTTCCCCAATGTGCTCCTCTCATCCAGGATGGGAAAGAAAGGCCATGGTCAGGACATGGCTGCCATCTCCTTTGTATCTCCACTTGATCCAAGACATTCTTGTAGCTCATTGGGTATAACATTGATCCATCCTCTAGACTAAAGTACAGCTGACCCCTGAATGAACACAGGTTTGAGCGCACACGTCCACTTCTACACAATGTTTTATCAGTAATATGTTGAAAAATTTTTTGGACATTTGCAAATTTGAAAAATCTTGCAAACAAACCATGTAGCCTAGAAATATTAAAAAAATAAGGAAATGCTAGATATGTCAGGAATACAAAAATATATAAATAGATATATACTATTTTTATGTTAATCAACTGTTATGATTATCCATGAGGCTTCTGGTTAACAGTAAGCTATTAGTAGATAAGTTTTTGGGAAGTAAGAAATTATATATGGATTTTTCACTGCAATATGGAAGTCAAAACAACCTCCACACTGTTAAAGGGTCAACTGTATTTCTCCAAGGCAGATTTAAAAAAATAAAACTTGTAGATTTCACTCCGTAAGAACTATGTCAAGAGGCCGGGCACGATGGCTCATACCTATAATCCTAGCCCTTAGGGAGGCCGAGGCAGGGGGATCACCTGAGATCAGGAGTTCGACACTAGCCTGGTCAACATGGTGAAACCCTGTCTTACTAACAATACAAAAATTAGCTGGGTGTGGTGGTGCGCGCCTGTAGTCCCAGTTACTCAGGAGGCTGAGGTAGGAGAATCACTTGAATCCAGCTGCAGTGAACCGAGATTGCACCACTGCACTACAGCCTGGGTGACAGAGAAAGACTCCACCTCAAAAAAAAAATCTGTCCACTCGGTGGGAATACGAACCTCTTGGGCTCCTCAAGGCCATCAGATCCTGTAGCTTTCCTCCTCCCTTACCACCATTGCCCACACCCCTGCAAGACCCTGAGGCCTATCCCTTTAAGGACTCTGTCTGAGCCACCTTCCCTCTAGGAAAGAAGCTAA